AAACGATAACGATAAAATATATGGGTTACGGGTTTTTCTCGAAACTGTGTTTTTGAAGTCGGTTTGCAAGATTTCTCGAGAACTACCCAACCAATATTCATGAAATTTTACACAGGTCTTTGAGATACAATTCTTGAACACTTGGGTGTAGGACTTTTTTCGATTACAACTATTTGATAAAAAAAAATTGCGAAATTTTCACATTAATTTTAATATTTTTGTAAAAATTTCTACCAAAAACTTTAACTAAAACACGTATTTTTCACTTAAGATGATCCTGTAAGGATTTATGATGCCAACGCAGGCGCTTCTTTTTTCCGAGGGCCGGGTTTAAAATATTTTTTTTCTAACAATTTCAATTTCAGTGTGTAATAATAAAAAATTCAATTAAAATTTTAAATTTTTTATGCGAAAAAATTGTTGAAAAAATTTAGTTTTTTACCTGAGGACCGATGTAACCCCTTAAGAGATCAGAATATTATATTGGCCTTTATTAGATTTTAGAAATATATTTCTAGTTCTTTACATTATATCTAGCTCCCATTATAACTTAGCATTAACTTTCTTGTACATAAATCTAAACTTGCTTAAATTATTTTAATACATTTTCGACTATTCTTCGTTCTCGACTTTTTGCTCATCAAAAATATGTAATAGCACGAAAACTACATTTACATTTGACTAACATGTTAACTCACCGAAAACTCTCACAGCGTTTATAGTTAAACAAATAAACACGTTTTCACACTACTTCCGTAAACTGCTCAACGAAAATCAACAATCGCTTAACTTTTCTCTTAATTTTGTCACTTTTCACATTTCATGCGCAAATACTCTTTCCAAAGCACCCCCACACACGCACACACACACACACAGCACCAATTGCAACGCCAACCGCCCACGCACACACTTACACAACCACGCACAACTTAACCACCCACTCGACTAAACACTCAACGCATCGTTGCACTTCCGTCAATGCGTTAACAGAGCGCTCAAGCCGCCTTTTGCACATTTTAAACAGACGTACGTTGTAATTTTTCCGCACTTTTAACGGTGTTCTTGCGCGGAAGTCGCCAAAGTGCGCGCAAACACACTTCATCGCTTAAGTGCAATAACAGCAACAACACACTGCACCGCATCAGCACAACAACAACAGGAAGGCGTCTTAAAATGTGCAACATCTTGCGCTACTCACAACTCATAACCCCCCTCCACATACACTCGCTATGCCCGGCAACCGCTCAACTTCTTATGCCGAGATTTGTTGTTCTTCACCGCTGCTGCTTCATTGCAGCGCACACTCACCTGGACTCTCCACTTCGGTGCTGCGATCCGGCGAATAACCCATCGACAGCGGCTCCGACGAACGCATACGCACATCCGTGTCTGATTCATTGCCGTTATACTGTATGCGCTGACCGTTGCTGGTGTCCAGACCGTCGCTGGGCGGTGACGGTATGCCGGGATGAAAGGCGGCAGCATTGGTCATCGGTGGCGCGGGACTGTGCTGATTTGGTGTGACCACACCGCCGCCACCGCCACCGCCGCCGCCATCCACGCCATTCGACTGGCCCGGCGGCACGTTGGTGTAGAGTAGGCCCAATTCGCGCGCCTCGTTCTCCTCTTGCGCTTGCTGGCGACGCAGCGCAACCTGCAGCGGAAGCGTAAAAAAAGAAAAGCGTGTGAGTGTTGTTGTAATTATGGTTGCTTTGTCGGTTTTAGTTTGGTCTAATAGAGTTTGAAAGCTTTATATACAGAGATTCACACCCATTGGCAGGGCACAGCACGACACGAGCCAGCACAACACTGTGGCCAACAATTAAATGATTGACAAAATTTGAAAAACAAATATTGGAGTTTCAAAATCTAAGTTTTCTAGTTAAAATAGCGTAACTGGGGTTTGAGAAATTTTGAGTATATCAATTTGTTTGTTTATTTTTTGCAGTTTTTTCGATGAAATCACTTTTCTGACAGAAATTTGCTATATTCAAAGTCGGTTAATCGAATTATATGGTGGTATATAACTTCTAATAGATCCATGGAACTTATTGAAATAATATTAAGTCCGATATATTTATATCCTGAACAGGCTATATTTAATTTGGCACGAAATTTATAATACCCAAAAGGTAACGTCGGATACCGTTCAAAGAATACATTGTAGAAATGTCTAGCGTGACAAGCTGAGTCGATTTAGCCATGTCTTTCTGTTTATACGCGAAATAGTTCTTCAGTTGTCGAGATATCGACTTCAAATTTTGCACACATCCTCTTCTCATCAACAAGCTGCTCATTTATCGAAACMGACTATATCGGCTCACTATAGGGTATAGCAAACATACAAACTGAWCGATCGGAGTCAAGCCCTTGTATGGGAAACTTTTTAATTTGACAAGATATCCTAACGAAATTTGCCATATAATAATCCAAAGCTTTGCTACGATTTTCTAAGAAATTGTTTATATCGGATAACTCCGTCATATAGCTCATACAAACTGATCTATCAAACTCACGTCCTTGTACGGAAAGCTTGTTTATTTGTAAAGCTAACGTCACTAAATTTGCTAGGGATTATTATATCAGATAACGCTATAATTTGACAAGAAATAGTTTAGATCGAACACCTTCAGCATATAGCTGTCATAAAAACTGACCAATCAAACTCAGGTCCTTGTATCGAAAACTTTTGTATTTGATAATAATTCTTTAAGAAATTCGGCCTAAGTTATTATTTCATATAACACTACAATCTCCGAACATAATGTTCAGATACGACCTTTATAACATATAGCTGCCAAGTAAACTGACCGTTTAAAATCAAAATAAATATAATAAACAAGAAATACAACTGTAAATGGTATTACATTTTGGGTTCAGTCGAAGATAACGTCTTGTCTTTGTTTTCCTTTAGTCGAAGTTGCATTGAACGAATTGCGGCAGAGTTGCACTTTACATCTTGGAAATGGTTTAAAAACTTATAAAACGGGAGTACATGTTTTTTTTTTTACCTGCCTTGCAACTAGTTCAAAATTTCTCATAAATTTTCAAAATTTTTGAGCTAGCGCTATTAGCTTTTTTTTATCAGTTTATGTAATTTATTACTTAAATTTCCCTGAATTGTCTGCTTTTAATGCACTCCGCTGCCGCTGAGTGCGAATTATGTATTACTACTATGATTTTTTTGTTTTTGTATTTTTTGTTTTTTTTTTTGAGTTTTGTTGTTAGATTTCATTTACTTGATAGCAGTTTCTAAAGTATTGTAACGCATCGTTCCGTGCTGTTAGTTGTGAATCGACCTTAATGCGTACCTGTGCGGCCATAACGCGTTGTCGCTCCGCAATCAAAGTGCATTTCGCACAAACACAATCACGCCAACGGCAATAACGCTTGTGTCCTTTGAGCGCGCTAACCTGCAAAATGTTAGAAAATTGATTTATGAGTGATTTTTTTTTTTTTGGAAAAATAATATACTTTTAAATAATAGTTTTACTTTATTTCTCAGAAAGTAGTGTAATTTTAAGTTTTTTATGTTACTAAATTTTTAATTATTTTTGTAGTAATCTAACTTAAAATACCTAAAGCCGCTATTTTTTTAGTTACATCCTTTTAAAATGCAGCATCAGTTTAATCTCGCTTAAGTTTTTTTTTAATTAAAAAAAAAATTGTTTTTTTTTTGTAAACTTTTGGTTATGTTTTTCGACCTTATATCATTTTACGAACAATAGTAGGAGGTTTTTTGCACGTAGCAGGACCTATTTATCTAGCGCCGTCGGAGATTTCGTGAAACATTTTTTCTTCGAAAACTCTACCGTATATTACCGTACAGGTAAATATACAAAAAGACAATTATCGCAGTAATTTCTTTTTTGACTTAATTTCTTCGTTGTCATAAATTGCAATTTTTGAGTTGTCGAACTGGGTGTGCTCCTTAACTATAGTGAATAGTGAATTTTTGAAAACTCTGTTTTGGGTAAATTTTTGACTTTTCCTTTAGATCGAAACAAAATATGTACAATATTTCATTAAAAGAACCATATATTAACCCTCGATAGGAATCAAGATAGATATGAATTCATTTTCGTAGTCAAAAATGCTAAAAGCTTAAAAACCAATAAAAGTTGTACAATTTATTGGGACTAATTAGAAAGAATAGGCGATTTTACTGATAAAAAATTTTTTATAAGCCATAATATTCGTGAGTTGAAGCTAAAATTATTCAAGTCATGGTTCCGACTTAGCATTCTTAAAAAAAAAAATTATTGATTAATTTTTGAAAAATAGATTTTGTGTACCAAACATAACCATAAAAATCCTTTATAGTAAAATGCAGTAGTTAATCAACAATTAGAAGCCGAACAGATTGAAAAATATATAAAATAACTAAACGAAATAAAAAATGATTATTAGTGAACAATTTTTTTTATACATTTTGAATTGAAATATCTATGTATATATAATATAATAAAAGAAATTACTTAAAAGCTTATAGTATACAGTATAGCATATATCATTAGTATATACATCATAAAATTTGGTTCAAAAATATGAATTGATAATGATAAGAGATGTATACAGAAATTTAATGAAATTAATGATTAAGACCGGTTCTACAATACGATTTTGAAAAAATTTGACGGATTCGAAATGAATTAATGTTCTTTATTTTGTTACCCGGGCGATGTTTACAGCTCTTTTGCCCAAAATCTCAAAATTCTTTGTGAGGTTTGCTTTCATGCATAGGGTTTGTATAACTTTATTTTTCAAAACAAATAAGAACACAAAATAGCAGAGATTAGTATATGATTGGACCAAACAAACAAAAATATTTCCAAATATCCATAATTAGACATAAAATGCTTTTTTTTGTTTTTGTCTTATATCAATAGTTTGAAATATAATATTTTTGAATACAAGAACTAAAATATAATATATTTGCACTTAAACATAATATAAAACACGCACCACGCCATGATTGCGACAGCGCGCACATTTCGGTGTTCGCTGGTAGCGCTCCGAGGCGGCGCGCAGAAAGAAGGCGGGCGGCAAAGCGCCTAAAACTGGATGCTGCGACATTAGATTCTGCATATCCACGCCGGTGGGTAAACTCATGTTGCAAGCGACGCTGAAGCAAAGTCAAATTGTAAGGCAATGGCAATATGCACAGCAATTACTTAGTCAAAACACAGCAGTTTTAAAAAGTTTTCAATAAAACATTTTCAAACAAAAGCGTTGAGAATTGTATTAAATGTATATACATATATTTCTTTTCTGTTCACTGGCAATACTGCAACATTTTTATTTAATTTTTGTTGCAGCAACACAATCGTTTTTTCTGTTTTTTATTTAACAAATAAACATATTTGTTTAATTTTTTTTTTTTGTTACAAACACTTAATGTGTATGTTTTTGTTGTATTTTTTATGATTTTGGTGCTTGAACACAAACGACTGGCAGCCTCTTAATAGAATTCCGGTTTGTTGCACATTGACGCGCGTTGCCCGACCGTTGCGACGTTGTTACACGACGGATACTCAATTGAAACTGAATCAACTTTGCCAAGCACCGACGAAGCCCCCAGTCATTGAGTCCATCAAACAGGCAGCCAACCAACCAACCAACCAACCAACGCACCAAACAAGCATCAAGCAAGCAAGCGCTGCGCCTTCGCAGGCAACCAGTCAGTCCGCCATTCACACACAGTTACTTTTCACTAAAGGCAAAAGTAATTCAATGTGCACACACATACATTCAAACATTCATATATGCGATTGGAAGGCGTGTGAGTGAGCGAGCGAGCGAGTAAATGTGTCGTACGAGGGTTGAAATGGCAACCGCCCTACTCCTACCCTCGCAGCTGCTGCTGTCAACGGAGTTTCTTCTTGGCTGCTACATACTGTGCAACAACCACCGCAACTGTAACAGCAGCAACAACAATGAGCCGCAGCAGCAGCAGACGCAGCGGCAATCGCCAACATTTAGCAATGGCAAGAGCAAAGACCAAACGACAGCAATGCTTGGCAGTGGAGTTGGTGACGGTGACGGCGACGGTGATGGTGCTGTAGTAGGCTGCTGACACAGCTGGCTGTCGGAAGGACGGGCGTGTAATTAAAAAAGTTTACAAATTCAAGTTTTTGGGCACTGTATACAAAGTTGCTCACTCAGTCGGTTGCGCCTCTGCCGCCGACATGCTCACCTTGTGTTATAATTGTATTTGTACATATGTGTGTATGTATTTMATTCTCGCACGATATATACATGATTACATACATATATATGTATGTATGTGAATAACTATTTACAATTCTGGGAGTATATATTTTAAAGCGCGCTCTTTGTGGTAGTTACCTCTTACATTCGTCGCCATTGTCATTACGACTTCTTTTGGTTTAATGTGGGTACGCTACAGTTCCACGGCAAGACTTTGATGGTTTTGGTAACATTGGACAAATAGAAATTTACTGTAGAAAGCTCCGGGTTACAAAAAATAAAACAAAATAAAGAAATTGATTTTGATCGTTCAGTTTCTATTGCAGCTATTTATATCAGTGATCCGGTCTGACAAATTTCTTCATCTTATTGTTGTCTTGCACAATAATCCATATCAAATTTCCTAAAGATATCTCGCTTAGTAAAAAACTATTCCTTACAAGAACTAAATTTTTAATAAAAGAAGAATTGTCCGAACATTCGGAAATCTCGCTCCCTTTTACTTCATACCGGATCACTTGGATCATGGAGTCGCCAAACCGAACTCTGGCGGTTCCTTCTCTACCATACCTATATACCGGCAAGGGAGTTGTAGGTGGGAAGAAATGGTTGCAGGAAAATGACTGCGAGCTTCACAGAAGGGGAAAGGTTAGTGGAGGGATTTATTGTCAGGATCTTCCTATCAATTCCAGTTCCCGACTCACTGACTATTGCAGTGTCTTGCAAGCCGAGGTTGCAGTAGATATACTGCCGCGGAATGTAGCCTTCAGAGAAGATAGCATAGAGCGGCGATACTAGCCTTGAACTCAAAGCATCAAGTACCTTTGTGATGAAACTGGTATGGGTGCCAGSACTCAGCGGAATTGCGTGAAATTGTAAAGCTGTTGAGCTAGCAAGAAAAGGCAGGATAGAACACCCCAATACTTACTCCTTGACTGTCCTGCGTTCCGAGGTGGCAGGAATTGAAATCAAACGCCTGTGCAAATTTGTTCTGCCAACTAAGCGCTTTTGTAAGTTTGAACACAGGAGTTCTTCTTTTCTACGGCCTCACAAAGAACTGTATATAGTCGTCCACGTGCGATCTTTGATCAGCCATCTAACGTAACCTAATCTGTGAAATTATATACTATAGTGATCCAATATCGGCGATTCTGAAAAATTTTCAACTTCTTGGTTAGAAATGGAAGTTTCTGATTGATATTTTATTTTATTAATTTTCACCAAAACTAGATTAAAGTTTATATTTCAACGTTGTAGGTAATAAGAGGATCTACAACTTTTGTATCAACCCCTTTTTCACATAACCCCAAAAGATTGGGCCAAAACTTCGAGCTAAAATTGTATATAAAAAAAACCTTCATTGCTAAAAAATATATTTGAGAAGTTCGTGTTAAAATTTGAGACTAATCGGCTTAGCCATTTTCGGGTAATGTTGATCACGGACTTTGAAAACACCTTTTTTGAGAAAAATGCGTTTAAAATTTGGGCTTGTATTTCCAAGCACTCTGAAACGCCTTGTCAAATTCGAAAATATTCACCGGAACGACATGAAATTTTGAATAATTACTTCGAGATAATTTAAGAAATCTCGTCATTCATTTCCGGGCACTTATGACAGTTACTACCTCTCCAAGTCATTCATTTTATTTACATCACTTTAAACAGGTAACAGGTCTATAAACACTCAATACCAAGAAGTTCGAATGAGCAGCAAGTTCGATATAAAAAAAAATAAAATTATTTCACACTCAAAACAATACTCTTTATCAATCAATTCACCATTAAAAAAATTACATTTCCAAAATACGATTACCGAATGTAATTCTCCAGCAAGTTTCTCATGTGTTTCTGTTACTTCTTGTTCCTCTCTGGGTTTTATGTGTGCGATTTCCGCGCTGCTTTCAACTTGAAAATGTACATACATACAAAGGGCTTGTTGCCCTCCCAACACCAACACTCAGTCAAATGATTGTTCAGCTGCCTGAAGGGAAAAGTAACAGCGACAACAGCAACATTTGCGGCATCCTCACGAGTAGTAGTAGTGGTGGTAGCGGCAGCAGCAGCAGCAGTGTAGTAGCCAACCAAAAGCTTTGCCATCGCTTTGGCCGCATTCTGAGAGTACCCTCTCTCTCGGCTATGCCAAACTTGTGTTTCTGTTGCCGTTTTGTTGCTGGTTCGCATGGCGGCAGTCGCACTCATCAACTAACCCACACACATTCATACAAACCGGTAGACGCAAGTCAAGCAACCAATACCAAGCAACGTTTTGAAGGGGTACAACAATGCAAATGGCACAATATGTGACTGTTAAAATTTGTTGTTGTTCATGATAATGAGTATCGTAGGTTGGCGGAGGAGCCTACAWTACATAATGGGCGTATTGTGGGCGCTTCGGTTTGTGAGTTGAGGCTTGCAGCGCAATACATTTACTGTGAAATGTGTGTGTGTGTGTAAAATAAAAGAAATTCTGTGCAATGGCGACTGTATTTCAAATTCTGAGGTATCCTGTGATTTATTTTATTTATTTCAAAGTAAAATTTGTAGGGTTATTGAAGTGCATGTATTTCTCAGAAGTGTTGTGTTGTACGTATTGTTTTGTTTTCGCTATTTTATTTAGATTTCTATACTCTTTTACATTCGCATATTCTTCATATACATACATATGTACATACTGAGGTATATTGTAAATAAATTTTGTTTTAGATAGAGTTTTCTAATAAAGTTATACGTTATAAAGAACTGAAAACATACCGTTGAGAATTGTTATTGTGTAAACTCATCTTTGTATATAATGCAACAACAATTTTTTGAACAAGTATACAAATTTATGATTTTATGGTTTTTCGTTACGTTATGACAAGTTGTGAGTCCCCTTGTTGGCAGATCTCGAATTAATCCTCGAATATATTGTTTTGAAATTTTGTAATTTATTTCCAGATGAACTAAGACAAAATTGAATTGCACTAATGAATACTTAAAATTGTATACTATACATTTGTTGGTAATAATTTTAAAGGCATACGCCTTCAGATATCTGGAATTTAGAATTTTCCATAAAAATTTGCAGAATAACTTAGTCGCAAGGATTTCCTATGATGCAGGCACATGCGTGAACCCTGAGGTAATCATCAAAGGATTCTTCATTTGCTAATGTTCTGAAAGGCGACCTAAACTCTCAAATTATGATACATGTACATACATGGTCTTGTTCATCCCACAAGTTTGTCTGAGTACGCATGCCATCATTTCAGAAGCAAGACATTCGGCAGCAGTTCACAATTTAAATAGATATTCCAAATTTGCTTAAAATTTCAATGGCATAAGAGGTTTATTTTTCCTTCTTTGTATTAAAATATTCAATAAATTTCGCTTTCTGTGGTGTTGTTTTAGTTCAAGGATAATATCTTGACTAATTAGCTGTAATACTAGATAATTTTATTTTTTCTTTAAAGTTTTGAAGTTTTATCATCCTTTTTAAGTAACTCTCGCTTCTTACCTAGGCCTTTTGGTTGAACTCATAATCTACAGTATTTTTACCTTTAAGGGGTTACATGGGTTCACGAGTTTCAAAAATTCAAATTGTCTTATTCAATTCTACAACACCTATATGTCTTAAATTTTCAAGTTGATYCGATTAAAAGTTTCGGAGATATAGCTATGAGAACTTGTGGGCTCGAGGCTAGCTGGACTAAGTCCACCGTCTTTAAACGCGTTTTTCTCGGAACTGTGTTTCTGAATCGGTTGGCAACATTTCTCGAGATCTATTAAAACCGATCTTCATGAAATTTTACACAGGTCTTTGAGATACAACTCTGAAAGACTTACACGAAGGAATTTTTTGCGATTAAAACTATTTGAAAAAAAAATGTCGCAAAATTTTTATTTTCTTTGTAAAAATGTCTGCCAAAAATCCAAAATTCAGTTATTTTCCTTCGTCCAAGTTCTAAGTTAAGGTTTTAACTAAAAAACGTATTTTTTTTTTCTTTACTTTAGATGATACTGTAAGGATTTATCCTGCCAACACGGGCACATCTTTTTTCC